TTTGATTAAGCTAATAATCAATTTTTAGTAAATTTTGAAAAAAAAAAATGAAGAAGAAGAAGAAGAAGAAAAAAATATGTGATTAAAGAGGTATATAGACGGTAGATGATCTAAAGAGATCAAGCACGAAAACTTAGGAGTAAATCGTAGCTAACTTTCATGTTAGTATTATTTTGTTTAAATCGATTCATTGATTTGATTACACCACTAACTAGACTGAGCTACGGTTTGGTAGGAATTAAAATCTAAATCTTAATATAAATCAAAGTTAACAATTAATTTTAATCATATATTTTATGAGATCAACAAATTTTCAACCACATGCTTCGTTAATTTTTATCAAAATATACTAAAAAATTTGATTTTATTTCCCACCAAACATGGACTAACTGTCGCGTGAATTGTTCATTAACAAGAATCCAAACTAAAGCACATGGACAGAATGCTATAATATGGAGCACAACAATATAAACTAGTGGAAATTTTACCACATACCTTATTTTTAATATATATATTCATATTATACTACTATATATTTTTTAAACCAAAATTACTGCATTTTATGTAATAAAAATAAAAACACAAAATTGCTTCTATCATCCATTAAATGATTTCATGACTGTAATTACTCCTCCAAACACGTCTCAACATTTCCGGTTAAGAATAATTTTTTGAATCTATCTTAATCAATCTGTCAAACATGCCCTAACTATCACTATTTAACTTTCCCCAAAAATCCCCGACATTATGCTCTTACTCTCTATGGAAAAAACAAAAAATTCATCAAAATTGAGGTATTTCCGCTTTCAATCGTATTCAAACCTTTCTTCACGTTCCAAAGATAGGTTATATTTCACTCTGTGTGTCTAGAAATTGATTTCCATGCTACGATTCGCACTTACCCGACTATTCTGCGATTATAAAAACTCTAATAGCTGTGAAATTTTTTTTACAGTTCATCATGAAAAATCATACAGATCATACCCTTTTCCTTTTATCATATGAATTGGATGGTATACCACAAGACAATTAACAGGTGAGTTCATTAGAATTGGAAGCATTATTAGTATACACATGTCACAATCGCAATTTCATACTCTAGTTTAACACAAACTGTCTAATTTATTTAATTTTTTTTGTACGTCTTCATTTTTCAGGCACAATTGCGATTTATATGTAATTAAGTTTGCCGAATATATTATCAACCAGAAGATCAACCAAATGGTAGAGATGTTAGATGCAAAAATTGCAAAATTGTACCTAGCAGCTCAACTATACAAGCACGTTTGCGAGAAGGTTATCATAGGTTAGGAGACTAATTTCGATCTTGTACCACGGAGTATCAAAAGGGAGTGAAAGTTGTTGGGTATCATTATTGACTAAAAGCGATGCAGATTAAGTATATTTCTTCCTGGACTAGCAAATTTAATTTTGATCAGTTTTCAAACGCTACTTTACTTTTGTTACCATTCTTAAAAAAAAAAAAAAAAAAAAAAAAAAAAAAAAAACAGGGGAACAAAAACATCACATTTATTGAGAATTGATTGGACAAACGGCTTAATCCAAGGGTTAAAACCTATTCTAATGGTCTTATATAAGCAAAGTTTTGACTTCTCGCGTTTCAGTAGAAACAATGAAGGGTGATGAACCATCAAAAAACGTGAGCGATGATTGTCATAATCTATCTACATTGGTCGCAAAATTTTCCACATTTGTATCAACAATTATGCAATTGAGTTAGCCAAATAATACATTTATTGGAAATGAGTAGATTTTTGTGTAAATTGCAATAACCAAGAGTACTTCTAGAAGATAATTTTCCATTACTATCACTATCAAGTAATTCATCACTTTCATTAATGTTTTCATTGATTTTGATCGCTTTTTCCTATCGATCATTTCCTGAGCAGAGTCATGTAATATCTTCACATGAAATCTTGAATACCATTTCATAGCTTCTCTCTTCCACTGCCGCAAGGGGGTAACGGGACAAATAACAATGGTTGGTTTGTACATACTATCAAAATGTAATGATCCAAGGAAAGCTAAAACATGGATGGTTTTACCGAGATCCATCTCATCTCCAATTATTCTGCCTGCTCTATGACAATGTAGTTCCCATAACCACTGTGCACCAACTTGTGATAGTCAAAAAGCTTGCTAAAATTTGTTTTTGGGTTCTGAGTCCCCCTCTAGCATTACAAATGAAGATCCTTCTTCCTCAGCATCTTCGATATCTTCCAAATTGTCTTCTCCATAACCAGAGGTGAATAATAATTTTATGCAATAATTATTGGAGAACAATAATTTTGTGCATGATATCGCGCGAAAGGTCAACAGAGTGCAAAAATTCGAGTTCTGGCAAAATGAAGTTATGCGGATGTTAAATTGTAGAGATTGTGATATGCAAAACATAGAGTTCAATCTGTGCTACAGTTCTGTATATGTTAAATTACATCGATGTAGTAAACAACCGATGATCATTCAATTGTTACTAGTCAAGAATCACATTCATTTCGAAAAATGGCACAAAGGAATGAAATTCAAAAACATAGATAATATGGAAATGGAATATCCAAAGTTACAGTAATATTGGCTAGAAATTTTGATATGAACATACTACCTCTAGTTATTTTGCGAAGAAATTCCGAGTCACGAATTGTAACACCCCCAAATCTAATTACGTAGACTTGAAAGTATTAGCATTTAATTTCCCCTTAGAACCATAAATGCGGAATACTGAATATAAATTTTTCTTCAACATAAAAATATTAATGACCCTCACTTAAGGGAGGAACTTTAGAAAACTTTTATATTTAATAAAGATATAAGATAATCAAATTAAGAGTTCAACTTATTTCAAGTTGAATCAACATTGAATAAATTAGTACCAAGTCCGTCTCACCACAAGTAGTCGTCTCGACTCATCATGTCTTCATCATCTAAAAGTGGGGAGGGATAATGTGGGATGAGCTAAAGCTCAGTAAGCAAATCCATGCACATGATGCATGCTGATGATATGCATATGCATTATTTTAAAACGAAAGGCATTTTTCAATATGAATCCCCATTATTTCATTTATTTAAAAACATTAACACCGTGAGCTCAATTGATGTATCGCCTATAGCCAACCAGAATGTAGTGGGACATGTTATTTGGAACCCGATCAAATTCTACAGGTAGTACCGCAAAGCGATTAATATTAACATTAACATTAAATATTCATCATTCATCATTGGTTAGATGTGCCGGTCTCCCCCAAACCCCATTTTCCACTCACATTTTCATGGCATAAACATACATCTCATAACAAAAACATTCGGGATACAAATCTTTAAACATTCATTGAGTCATGACATTTGGAAATATTTTATTTATTGAAATTTCATGTATGCTTATTGATGCATTGACGTGCATGAGTATACATGAAACATTTATAATATAAAACGTAATAATTAAACATCATGTTCACATAAGAACAGATTTATGTAACACATTCATACATTTAATGATATCAAGTGCCATGAAGATAAAGGGAGGTTTATTTACATGATGTCCTTAACAATTTACTTTTAAAAAGGTCAGTGGCGAAGTCCTTAGTCGCCCTAGTTTATAACCATTTACTTGGAAACTTCAATAAATTAAAGTTCACTCTTTAAACATGATCCATAACATTTTTCTATTAAGTTAGATCTCAATTATATGCTCGAACTGTAAATTAAAACTGTAGAAAAGAGTAAAAGTTAGATTTTAAGTTAAAAACATTCTTAGCTTATAAGGTACTGTTTGGTTACATTATATCTACTACATTAATTTATGGATATTAAGTTCAGGATAAGGATACACTAACATTTTAAGGATAAAAGATAGCAAGATTACGAGGATCATTAACTGTGAAAGAGAAATTTGGTAAAGAGGCTAACAATATTTAAAGTATCCTATGCATCATTCAAAAATTCGTACAAAATGAATTACTTAAAAGAACATAATAAATCCATGCAAGATACTAGTTAAGATTACTGTGATTTAGAAGTATATGCTGAATTGTTAACTTCAAAATTCGGATTAAGGGCCATATTTAATTTAGTAAAAATATCAAAGCCACTGTAAAAAAAGAATGGAAACTAATTAATAAACGTGAAATCAAGAATTGTCAATTATCACAAGTGGCCTTAGAGATGAACGGTCAAGAATTAATCCCATGGAATTCGGTAATCAAATTAAATTTAGATGTCAACAAACCATCTAAACTTTTAATTGGCTCCATTAGCGAAAATTCACGCCTAAAATAGATGCCGAGTAATTTAACATTAAATCAATTTACTATTAAAAAGAGAAAATAGGTTATTACCACAAATGTTTAGATTCCAATTCTAATTATAAAGATAGTATAAATATCACATAATATATTATAAATTTAATGAAATTATATTTATCTTTGATTTAGAATTACTAGTCAAGTTGATTGTTTAGAACATCCAAGTTACATTCCATTACAACAACATAGATAGTCAACACAAAATAAAAATAATATTAATGTAATTAAATTAAATGGACATGATAATCACGAAAATTAAGAGCACAGCATTACTCGACTCTCGTTGAATGTCAAACACTAGGATTACCTCAATGTAATCATTATGACATGATTGCCAATGATGGATATTCTCAATTCCTCTTAACCTCCTACATATATCGTTATGAAGTTACAGAGTCGGGGTACATGCCATGGGAGGCCAAACCTTACACTCGATATCATTTGCTACCAAAATCCCCTCAAAAGTGCAGAAATAAATTACAACCAATCACCAGGACCCAAAAAAATTGCCTGTTCTATAAAACAAACTGTAAAACAACCATAGTGCTGCATACCAGCCTTCAACTTCCATAAATCTCAGAACTTTTTCTATGCTTTCTTCATTCTTCAGAATTCGTGACCCCCCTTTTTCTGCAGCAATTTCCATATATATATATATATATATATATATATATATATATATTTTTTCTTTTCAATTTATATCGATTCTAAACAGTCAATAATAGCATAACAATACAGAGAACCCATCCAGCAACCTTACTCGCAGAGCTTTATGGTTTCCCTAGCAGGAAGGTAAGCTATATCTAGATTTCACTTACTGCTGAAGAAAAGGAAATCTGGGTGATTGACCTGCAGCAATTTTAGCCGATCATCAGCATCCTGAAGGAGAGAGGTCACCAGTTGGCGCTGATATCCTGCATTTGGGGTCCACAATGATACTTTATATTTATATGTGGCTAGCCCAAAAACTGGCAATGAAATTTTGGGAACACCATCCTCCCTCTCATTTGAATATGAGACAAGTGGAGTATGTATAGTTTCACTCCCTGAAAATAGAAGAAAGGCAAATATCAAAAACAGGACGGTGAAGATATCTATCAAATGCAATTATAATCATGCTGAAGGTTAAAAGTGTTCAGAAGTTACTTGACTAAAGTTTTTAAGGCATGCAAAGAAGAGAAGAGTCCAAGGTGACTTAAGAAAAGCAATCAGAAAACTAAGAGGAAAGACAACATGCAATATATACTAAATTGGAAAACATGTTATCCTTCTGTTTACTATTGGGAAATAAAAAACCTAGAACTCTTCAGACATGGTAATGGACAAAATGTAAATTTAAGATTAAAAACAGAAAATAAAACAATAATGACGAGCATACTAAGGAGGGTGTATTCATTTGAGAATTCTAAATACTTTTAAAGACATTTAAGGATTTAAAAAGCATAGGGGCATTCAATTGAGATTTTTAAAGACTCTATAAAAATTTTGGTATAATCAATAGAGACTTTATACTTTTCAAAAGTCTTTAAAAGTTTCGGTATATTTAATTAAAACTTTTTAGAAGTCTCTAAAAATTTTATGATAATCAAAATTTTAATGACTTTTAAAAACTATTATAAAAGTCTTCAGAGTATTAATTTTAAAGCAGATAGTACAAAAACAAAATTTCAAAATAAGTTTCTCATTCATCCCAAGATTTTAGGAGACTATAACAAACGGATTTTTGTAATATATTTTCTATCATGTAATATTCTCTTTCTTCTTCCGTTCTACGAACCTTACAATTATGGTTAAAAGTTTATTAGTTATTTTCCTACTTCTTGATTATATTTGTTCTCTATCCATTTTTCTTTCTTTTTATTGTTTCTGATGAGGACATCATTATAGTTGGACTTTTATTATTATTTCAGTATTTTAGTTGGACTTTTATTATTGTTTCAGTTGGACTTTTATTTAAATTTACGTATTTTAGTTAAGGCCTTAAATAATGGGCTTGGCCCTATATTTCTAGGTTTTTATTATTTAAACCTATCTTGGTTTGTAATTTTTGGACAATGAATTGATTAAGAATTATTGGTTTGGCTGCTGCCATCTCTTCTCCCTTCTGCCCTATTTCTTCTTCTTCTTCCTTCTCCAATATCTCTTATTGTTATCTTTATTGAATTAATCATTCTACATCAAATTGGTATCAAAGCCAAAACCTGATTATCTTCATCTCAACTGTTCACAAAATAACCACCCACAATGAACAGTAACTGCAGACAGTCACAGTAACCCGGAAATCAGACCACTCCGTGGCCGCCATCTCTATTCATGGAACCCCACTCTCGATCATCCTCACAGCTCCGACGCCTGTCATCACCACTCCAACAGTAACCCAATCCATATCCAGGCGACAGAACCCAAATTGACCCAACGCCTTCTTGCTCTCCACCGAGTCTTCGTCCACTTCGTCGACTCGTCTGCCGTCGCTATCAACGGACGACACCGATGACGGCATTCCCGCCGTCCCAAATCGGGTTGCATCTTGGGTGGGTTAACTGGGTTATTAGTTAAGTGGGTTGGGTATTAGTTATCAATTGGATTTTGGGTTAATTGGTTTAATAATTAAGTGGGTTGGTTTATTAGTTAACAATTAGGTTTGGACTTAATTTCAATTGGGTTGGACTTATTTGTATTGCTTGGGCTTGGGTTTGGGCTTGTTTAAGGTTTTGAGTGCAATTTAGGCCCAAATTTGTGAAATGGGCTCATTTATTATTTTGTTATTCTGATTTTGTATTATTATTTTTTAAAAAAAAAAAAGAGAGAAAAAAAAGAGATAAAAAAAAGAACAAAAAAAAAGTCAAAAAAAAAAAAAAAGAATCGTGAATTTTAAATTTTCTGACATTATTTACAGGTTCATTTTAGTTGACTGTTCAGTACCGCACCTCGACGAGCACAGAATTTTCTATCTTGGCATCTCAGGGCTTAGTAGTTCAGAGCGTGGAGACATTCGACGCTGGGACGACTCAAACCAACAGTACTCAGG